AAAAAAAAAAAAAGAAAAAATTTTTTTTTTCCTTTTGTAAAAGAATGCCTTCCAAGCTTAGTGTATATACTTGAAGTAAAAAGAATTCAAACACTAGCTGGTGCCATGGCTCATGCTTCTAATCCTAGCACTCTGGGAAGTCAAGGTGGGAAGATACCTTGAACTCAGGAGTTCATGACCAATCTGAATAGAGAAAAAAATCAAAAGCAAGACCCTTGTCTCTACTAAAAATAGAAAATAATTAGTTGGGCATGATGACACATGCCTGTAGTCCCAGCTATTTGGGACCCTGAGGCAGGAGGATGGCTTGAACCCAGGAGTCTGAGGTTGCTATGAGCTAGGCTGACTCCATGGCACTCTAGCCTGGGTAACAGAGCTAAACTCTGTTTTTTTCCTTTCTTTCTCTTTTTCTTTTTTTTCTGTTAAGCAGGCCTGGGTAGGGTTTAAATCTGCCACCTGTGGTGCACAAGTTGGGCTGGCGCTCTAACCTTTGAGCCCAGCGAAACTCTGTTTAAGAAAAAAAAAAAAAGAATTCAAACACTATAAAAGGAGACTTGAGTTTTTCTATACCAGTCGCTTCCTATCTCACTGTAGACCAAAAGGCAGTGTGACCCATAGGAGGGTTTCAGGAGAATGCCAGTGCCTAGTTGATATAATTAAGTCACAATTCTAAAACTCTTATTGGTTTGCTTAGCAAATATTATTTTGGAGAAGCATTACACAACAGAATCATATCCCACACTATCTTCTCCTGGTCTGCCTCCATTCACTTAGAGCTTAAGTGAATGATGTTTACTGTGGAGTGAGCTGAGCTGCCCAACTACCTTCTAGTTAGTAACACCTCTACTCACCCACGGCCTTGAGGAAGCGGTTCTTATCTGTTAGCACTTTTATAAAGTCTGAGAAGTTCACCTTCCCATCTCCTGTAATAGAAATCTAAGGCTCAGAACAAGGATAAGATGTATTTTAATTATCAGAATATATTTTAAGTATAAAAATTAAAAACACTCTGGACCATTTAATACTTAAAATCAGAGCACTGTAGGGCTGGAGATATGCTCAAGCAAACAATGGTCTTCTTCACTGGATCTTAGCTAAAAGGCTGAGGAGCTATATGCCATGGTTTTCTCAAAGTGGTCTCAGCCCCATTATAATAGCCCCCTTTCCCCGAGCCTGAAGAATTGATTATAGCATGTAAACATTAAGCTGGGGTGTCCAGCCACTGCAGTCTGCCACTCATTCCTTTACCAGAAACTTGCCATGCTTGCAAAGAGTCCACCCAGCCTTCCCACTCCATATCAACCCCATTATTCCTATTATAACATCCTTACGTTGTGCCCTGTTTCCTTTAAAATTAAAGGATAGTGAATGCTTTCAGAGGGGTGCATGTGTGCATTTCTATGAACTAACAGAAGAAAGGGCAGAGTTAGTAGAAACAAGTGATACCTTAATTAACTGGTGACACTGAATCACATGTGGAACTGAATGGGGCACTGGCATTTGGGTGGAGACAGGTGACAGGAGACAATATGCTGAATATATTTTCATATGACAACATATCAGCTAGGGCTACTAGTCACAAGGTCAGTATTTCAATAAAAACTTTATCTGTGACTATTAAAAATAGGCCGGGCTCCGTGGCTCACGCCTATAATACTACTACTCTGGGAGGCCAAGGTGGGTGGATTGTTTGAGTTCAGGAGTTCAAGACCAGCTGGAGCAGAGCAAGATCCCATCTCTAAGATAGCCAGGCATTGCGGCAGGTGCTTTTAGTCCCAGCTACTTGGGAGTCTGAGGCAAAAGGATCTCTTGATCCCAAGAGTTTGATATTGCTGTGAGTTATGATGCTATGCCACTCTGTTGAGGGGGACAAAGTGAGACTCTGTCTCAAAAAAAAAAAAAGGAAAAGAAAAAGCCAAAAACCAAAAATGCTGTGACATTTGAAATTCAATATAAGTGGGCCCCGATGATGGAGGAGAAAGATTTATGCTATTGTGATTCAAACAGAAACAAAGGGTTCGGATTTTCTTGGTAATGTGTTTAAAATCATTATTGCCTTTGTGTCTATTATTTCAACAGACACATCCAACATCATGATAGGTAACCTGAAATTGATATTGGAAAGAGACACTCTTAGTTTCCACACAGGATTTTCAAATAGTTCATTTTGTAGCATTAATTTGATTTTATAACTTGTACACATACCTCACTGATATCCTCAAAGGGACACACACACATTTTTGAGCAAGGAAGCATTCTTTTTCATGTTTATATAGCCAATAAAAGAAAAATACATGTTCACCAAAATCGTGTATGAGAAAAATAATTAGAAAAGTACTCACCATCAATATCAGCGCATTTTAATTCATTGTAGACATCAGGCTTGGTTAGATTAATTCCCAATCTAGCTAAAGTGCACATCATTCCATGTAAGTCAATACAACCAGTTTTATCCTTGTAGAAAAAGTTGTAGGCAGCTCGGAAGGCTGGGGAAATGGAATTAAGGACAGTTATGCAAGAAGAAATACATGTGCTAATGAGACTGGAACAGACAATACAGTTGATTGGAGATCATGTTCTTATAAAGGACAATGTCCTTCCATAAAATTTGAATTGGAAAAAATCGGTGAAAAACTAAATGTGGTAGGGCGGTAGGTGAGATGGCCTTCTAAAGATGTCCATGCCTTAATCCCTAGATGTTGTGAATGTGTTACCTTTACATGGCAGAAGAGACTTTGCAGATATAATTAAAAGATTATCCTGTGTCATATTTAAGGACGTAATCCCTCATGTAGCTAGAAGCCAGAGAAATATGGCAGAAGTCATAAAGATTCAGAGCATGGGCTTGGCGCCTGTGGCTCAAGTGGCTATGGCGCCAGCCACAGACACCTAAGGTAGTGGGTTTGAATCCAGCCTGGGTCTGCCAAACAACAATGATGGCTGCAACCAAAAAATAGCCAGGTGTTGTGGCGGGCGCCTGTGGTCCCAGCTACTT